CTCCCTTTCCCCCATCTCTCTCTCCCCCTCCCTCTCCCTCTCTCTCTCTCTCTCTCGCTCTCTCTCCCTTTCCCCCATCTCTCTCTCCCCCTCCCTCTCCCTCTCTCTCTCTCTCTCTCTCTCGCCCCCTCTCCCTCTCCCACCACAAACCTCATCATCTCAACCATCCATCAGACGGCAAATCAGCTGTTGCCCGAATCCAACGTCGCACGCGCGCGCGCGAGCAGGCGAGCGAAAGCCCCCTTGAGAATTCACCATTTCTCAATTATTAGCCTCGACATCCATCTTCCTCGGTAATCCTCGCCGAGCATCTCCCCGCGTCGCTCGAGCTTCCTGCGGGAGGCTGCGCGCGTAACTGAAGCCCCGCAGCCTCGGGGGAGTCCGGAGTAGGGGGAGGGGGAGGGGGGAAACCTGCACGATTCTCCGGCGAGCGAAGAGCGCGCGCGAGAGAGAGATGCGAGCGTCGCGCGTGCGGACCAAAACACAGATCGGACGGCGCGACGCAAGCGTGCGCGGGTGGCCGTTCGCCCGGACGACATCCAAACAAAGCCCCACCCCCTCCTCCTCCTCGCGCGCGCAGAAATGTACATCCGTGTCGACTCATCTCACACCCACCCCCCGCCTTCCGCTGCCGAGTTGTTCGACCCAACCCGCTTACTCCCCGAGGGTCAGGCTGTCATTCATTTAGGTTCCATTACCTGGCCTCGGCTTCAGGACTATTCCATCGCGCCCTAATAAGAAGGAGGGGTGTGGCGCGTAGGCGGGTGGGCACGGAGGAAGACTGCTGCTCGGCAATGCGAATCCTTTTTCTTATTCTCCGAGCAGTTTATCGTCGCCGTCGTCATCTGCGCTCCGGTGCGCTTTGCGCGCTGCGAAAGTAGTATCGTCGTATGCGTACAGTCGGCAAATTAGATTGCGTTTTTCTCGCGCCGCGCGACCCCACCTCCTCCGATTCGCACGCAGTGGTCCCTCTTCCCGCTCGCTCGCCCTCTCGCCCTCTCGCCTAGTGCTACGCTGGAAAATATACAATCCATCTAGCGCACGGTGGGTGCTGTAGCTTCTCTTCTCCTCTCTTTCTCTCTCTCTCTCTCTCTCTCTCTCTCCCCCCCTCTCTCTCTCCCTCTCCCTCTCTCTCTCCCTAGATTCCCCTAGAGAACTAATCAGTTTCATTCACTTGGAGTGAAAATTCTGAATCTGCTCGAAATTGTTCCACAATGCGCAGCGTCCGAGACGAACACACACTTGCATTAGCGGCGCTAGGCGGCCGCGCGAGACAAAAAAAAACCCCCGAAGGTGAAAAATAACCGCAATATTAATCGTCGCACGGAAATCGCTCGACCGCCACGCACGCGCCGAAAGAAACCCGGTCGGCGCATTTCGGCGGAAAATCGTCGCGACTGTTATTAATACTATTTATGCTTACACGTGCGGAAAACGCGTTGCCTTGAGCATATTATTAAACCACGGCCGCGCAGCAAAAATCAAGCGTGCAAAGTTATTTTACACTCCTCGTCTTCTACAGCGGAGGACTACAAAACAAATTTCTAGCTTCACATGCACACGTACACATGCACGCACACGTACACATGCACGCACACGTACACATGCACGCACACGTACACATGCACGCACACGTACACATGCACGCACGCACGCACGCACACACTCAATACATCCACACAAATAAGAAGGCGTGCCACATGCACTGAGAAGGAAAAAATCCCCATGTAATATCGTGCCAATTGTGATCTTAGGAAACGCACTTCAATTAAAACGACGAGAAGCAGCGAGTATCCACGCTCCCTCGTAAGTCCCATTAAGAATTCTCCGCCATCGCAGAAAATAACTCATAACGTTCCTGTTTTCACGCGCTAATGAATTTTCCCCTGCCAGACAAACGGAAATTTGATTGCACTTGTGCAGAAGCAGCAGAGCTCGCTGTGCAAGCTACAGAACCTACAAGTACATCTCGTATGAAACCTCACAAGCGTCAGACCACGACAAGCTGATATAACTACTGATAGAGAGAGAGAGGGGGAAGAGGGAGAGGCATGGAGAAGGCGGCGGATAGAGAGCGGAGAGGGCGAGAGAAAGCGAGAGACGGTGAGAGAGGGAGTGAGACAAACAAATAGGGGCGAGGGGAGAGCGGGGGGGGG